GGAAGATAAGCAATTAATGCCTTTGCGTCACTTTTTTGTCTCCTCCATGCTGGTAAATTACCCAAAGTAATACTAAATGGATGTTCAGTTTTTCTTCCTAAATTATCACAATTTGTAGCATCAGAATATATGGGGCATGCTGCAACAAAACCAGACAAAGTGAACATTTGTATTACTAAGGACTTCAAGTATTAATCTACCACTATGATAATAATATTTTGCTTATCAATGTGAAATGAATAAATGCAAATCAATTGTAAAAATATTTCATTATAAATATTTATTTTGAAAATGATAAATTACAATCAACATAAAAAGACAATTCTAAATTAATTATATAGTCTTATTTAGTTTCTATTTTCTTGTGTTGTGTTGGGGTAGTAATTGTAACAAAAATAAATAAATATAATTGATTATACCACTTTACCTGAATTTCTATTCATTGAGTAATTTAATGTTTCTCTGCTTTAAATATATAATCTTTAAGTACAATTTTTCAAACAATTTAAAGTGTTTTTCTACGAATTTCTTCATGGCACAATCCTTCAAGGGATTTTTCAATTTTTAATAGTAAAGTTGTTGGGTCAACTTCTTTGTAATTTTCTAGTTCATCACCACCACTATTATCAGATTTCTTTTCTGATGATTTTTTATAATTATTAGTTTGTTTGTATTTTTTCCTATATCTTTTTACACTAACATCAACACTAACAATATCCCCTGGATAAAAATTTTCTAGATCTTCTTTATCATTATCATCAATCATATGAATATTTTTTGAAAATTTCTTTACAATATTTAAACCATTTTTTAAACTCACAACCTCCTTGTTCTGCAAATCATCTATTAACTTAAATACATGTCTTTCATGTTCTTTAGTATCTTTTTTAATAAAACTGCTAGAGGATAATTCATTTTGCATAACTGAATTGTTCAAGTTTCCAAGATTGGTATTGGTAATATTACTTGGTTGTGACATAGGTTTTTTCTTATTTAGAATTTTAAATTCATCATGCTCAGTCGAAACATTTAAGATTGAAAAATCATGGTTTGGTTTGACATACCATGTGTTGGGGTAGAATTTCCTCACCATTTTAGTTTCTCGGAAGTCAAGTATGAGGTATGATTGGATTGGTATTGGTAAATATATGCCATCTAAATAAAAGGTAAATGTATGTACACATTATATAGAGATAAAATTAAATAGAATCCACATACTACATAATTATATGAATATATACCATCATTGAAACGATCATGATGCTTTTTCATTTTGTCTCCATCAACAAGCAATTCAACTGCCCATTGTGGTTCATTTACATAAAAATCGACCAACCCGTTTGTTGAAAACAGATGTCCAACATCTGGTGAGAGGTGAATTTCAGGAGGTAGGCAACTGTATATTGCTCTATACAGTTCCATTTGCCACACCCTCTCTAGTAATTTTTTTCTATTCTTAGATCGACCCAAACTATTTCTCAATGTTTCAATGTCAATTCTGGATAAAGCTTCTTTGGTCAAGTCATGTAAATTAAATTCACCTCTCAATGGTTCTTTCATTGGAGCATATCTTTGAAAAAATGATAATAATTTTTTTGCAGGTGAGGTGAACCCAACAACTCTACTTTCTCTTGATTTCAAGTAAGATATCACACCAATTTTAACCAATGATGATACAACATCATCAGAGCCTGATTCAGGAACATTTATCTCATCTTCCAGCAATAATTTATCAATTACTTCCTTTTGTTTTTCTGTAAAATTGTATAATTCTGATGAGATTAAGCCTTTAGAACTATATAAATGCAAATAGAAGTCAATACATAGAAAATTAAAATAGGCATTAACTAGAATGATGGTGAGTTGCAATGATCACAACAATCACCATCATTCTTTTTAATAAGACTAGAGTAACGACAAGTGGCAGGCGACAACCACCACCACCATCCTTAAAACACTTACCCACGTTCAGCTCCCAGTTGATTCGTTTTTCTTCTTTTGTTGTTACTTTGTGCTCGACTATTTGGCATTTTGTAAGTTTAAAACAAAAGCTTGTGATACGGTGCAGATCATCTATAATCATTAATTGCTTATAGTAACAATTGGTCAACTTCAAAATACTAAAACAAA